TTGAATGCTAGTTGTGAACAGATGATAACGACACGGAGTACGGAGTGATGGTGGGTGTGCTGTCGCTGTTTTTTGTGCTGAATGCGATCAGTATTCGTATCGTGATCAGGTTCAGCAACTTCGTTCTGATCTATTCTCACCTGATCACGCAAAGTCTATCCCAAATCGAGTACGTGCACTTACTTCATTACGAGCCACTGCCCTTATAACTCTGACACCTTATAAGTGATGTTTTGTTACAGTTCATCGGAACGCTCATCGTCTCCATCGTCCTCCGAAAAAGAAACACCCAAATCGACCCTCTCCGGTTCAATCCTAACATCGATCCCAATCAAAGAAGACTCTAGTGAAACTGTGGGCAGCGTTGATCACAATCATGATAATACCAACAATAATATTGATAGTAACAATAATAATAACAACAACAATACAGTACTAACAATTAACATCGGTAACAAAGTAAATCCAAAACCACAAGAGCAAATAACAACTGCTCAAGGTGGAGATCAACAACCACAACAGATCACTGTGAATGTAGTGAAATCAGATTGATCACTATATTGAGGGATATGATGATATCGTTGAATCAGTGCTTTGAATAAACGTTTTTTGATTGGTGTTGTTTGCGATTTTATGCGTTCGTTTGTTAACCATCCGTCGTTTCATATTTGATTGGGTCGGGCGAGGTCGTGTTCTAGTTGTTTTGAGGTGAGATACAGGTGCATTTTAGCCGTTGCAGATAGCAATGAGCTGATGAGTAACTAGACTATTTAGATGTGATAGTGTTGCGGCTTTTCGGAGTAATTGAACATGCTAATAGGTTTCATTCAAACATCAAAGTATGATTCTCAATTATCAGAGCGAATTGATCAAATAAATTTAGTGTCGTAGCAGATGCTCAAGTTAATTGATGAATTCGATCACTACATCGAACGAGCTATTAAGCATTAATCACGAACTCATTGATTACAGATTGCATTCTATAATAAAACGCAAAAAGAATACGATTACATTGATTATGAATCCTGAACAGTCTCAATTCGTGGCTGAAAATGAGTGGATTACGGTTGTTATTTGAATTATTTTTTGTCAATATTGTNAGATAAAACCGAATTTCACAAGAGATGAGTTGCATTTGATCTGTGGTGATATAGGACCGTTCGAAGCGTCAGTACCGGTCTCGGTCCCGATCTGGATCGCGGTGCATTTCAAGAAGAGACGCAAATGTCAGATCGTCGTTAGTTTGTTCATTATTGTTTGAGGTTATTAAATGCCGATAGAGCGTTCGTAATCAATGTTATTAAGGCACCAGACTGGCTGTCAGTGGATAAGTTGAAAGAGATGATCAAAAATGAAAACGATTCTCTACGATTAACGCCGATCCCGAATTGTTTCATGGAAATTGCACATATCCTCATTGATAATGCAAAGGATGATTTAGATGATGTTGATCAGGTGATTATTAACACTGTTTTTATTGTTATTATTATTGTTGTTGTTATTATGAATTGTGAATGTCATCTGTCATAACGGCAATAATCAATTGATTCAGCTGAAAACCTACGTTCAAGATCTTTGG